GTTGCTACTTATGATGACGGTCCTTGCGAAAAACACAACTTTTTACTTAACCTTGGCACCTTCGCCTGTAGCTGTTTCGTAACTTTGGAACCTGCATTGCCATTGTTTTCCTCCTCAAATGATGCAATTGTAGGAAGAATCAAACTCTATATGTATCCCAACTCATTCATAGGTGTTGACTGGCGTTGGACATCAGCCAATGCTAGACAGTTATATGTTTCCCCATATGGTTCATTTAGAGGTTCAAAATTCTTATTCTACTTGCTTACTTGAGTAGAATTTATGCCTTCTGGTAGTTGAGCTAGGGCTAAACATATGAGAAAAAAGGGTGATGAGTGAATGATCATAAAAAATGAAATAATTGTTTTCACTATATATTCTCTGTAATCCTTTACACAGTTGGTATTTCATTGAAAAAAGAACTGATAGAGGGCCTTGAGCTTGCCTTCGATGTGGTCATAATCAGGTATTTTCTTTGTGTGTGACAGGGTCTCAGTTCATAGATATGAACAAATCATTGAATGCTTCCCTGGAAGAGTTCGGTGGCTCACTAAGGGTATGGTGAATTTTGTTATTTTTCTTATGCAATTTTGGTGAGTCTGGTGTGCTGACAGACTTGACAGTTATGGTTCCTATATTTGAAGTCAGTTTGATACAGTATTAGAAATGCAGTTTGTAGATTTAGCTTATCAATGCTTTTTGCACTTTACCTTGACTCATATGGTTTTCACACTTATTTTTCCTCATATGGTTTGTAGTCACAGCTATGACGTTTGACTTGTCTCTTATAAGTTGCTTTGGTTTTCTTTCTGATCCTTGTGTTGCAGGATATACCATGGAAGGCATTTTTTCAGACCCCAGCAGTATGGGCAATGATATATGCTCATTTTTGTGGAAGTTGGGGCCACTATACTTGTCTAGCTTGGCTTCCTACATTTTTTAGGTATAACTGTAACTGATCATTTTGACTACTAGTTTTTCATGTATAATGGACTGTGATCTTCTTGCTGTACTATCTAGGATTTTACTCGGCATTTTATTATATTCAAGGGATGGAGAGGAAAGGAAAGGAAAATAGAGAATTTCAAAGGGAAGGAAATGAAAGAAAAAATGTTTCCCTTATTTGAATGATTAAAAACTGAAAAAGTAAAGAAAAGGAAAAGACTGTTGTAATATTTTGTTTGATTTAACTTTATACACTCTTAGTCAATAGATTGACAAGTTTAAGTACCAACTACAAGATAGAATTTTTAAAAAAAAAATTAAAAGACTTTATCCCAAAAAATAAAAAATAAAAGGAGTTCACCGAAAGCTTTCTTACATCATTTTCAAGATTCTCTATATTGGATCTAAATTTGCTAGAAACTTAGAGATTTCAATTTGTTGAGCTTGTTAAGTGTTTAATCATTAGTTGCATCTGAAGACTAATTCTTTCTTTTTCTAATTTTTCCTGAATTTACTGTTTCCATCTTTGTTATTTATTGATTCACAACATGAATAGACAGTAAAAAATCCAGATTGCTGGAGAATTAAAAATTTTAGTGCATTTGAGAATTTTCACACTTAGAAACTCCACTGAAAGATTAACAAAGAAACTGAGGTGTACTCCTGCTATCTTTATATAATTGTTAAAGTGGTAAATGTGATGGTCTTACTTTTTTTCTTGTGGAAGTTAAAGTGTATTAATAAAACACCAAAAGGGTGCAAACCATATACAAAATATTTACAAGTCAAAGGTCTTACCATTTGTATCTTTTAAAAAGCCAAAGATAGCCTTCAATTGCAAGGTGCATAGGGGTTGCCACCCGAAAGAAAGTGCTGGAGAAATACAATCTAAAGAAGAGCGAATATCATTAAAAGCTCTTCTATTTGAAAGAAAGTGTTGGAGGAATACAGTCTAAAGAAGAGCAATTATCACCAAGAGCTCTTCTTTTTTCCTTTTAAAATGACTTGAAGGAATGATGAAAATTACTTTTTCCTCATCTTACCCACCAGAAGGACATACCAAGATCTAAAAGTCCTACTGGCTCCTGAAACAAGACAGAGAAAATTACTGTGATCTGAAAAGGCTTACCCGATAATTTTAACTGAAACTCACCTTGAGTTTCTTCTCAAGAATTCTCAACATGAAGAATTAAGCATCTTTTATGTTATACCATCCTTTGTTCTGTGATATTTCTAGTCCTAGAAAATTAAGTTTTATTTTAACTTATCATGCAGTGAGGAGCTGAATCTAAATTTGACAGAAGCTGCTTGGGTAAGCACAAATAATTTTCTTCCCCTCTTCTCTCTCTTCTTGATTCTGTTCTTTTTTTTGGAGAAGAATCTCTTCTTAATGATGTCAGCACATTCTTCTAAAATTTCCTGAAATCTTACTGTTTAACACTTCATGTAGAATTTTCTAATTAGCGTTAATTTTAGACCTGTATAATTGGAGTATTTTCTCTTTTTCTTCAATAAAATGCTACCAGTGAGAATTGTTTCTGATATTCCAATTGTATCCTGTAATAGAATGGACCTTCAGCTGTAAAAATAACATATTTGTTTCTGATACTTTGCAAACCAGTCTATCATTTGGAGCACTTAGTGAATATTAAGAGTTATCTAGCTTATTGTCATTGGAATTAAAGATGCATCTTTACGTAATGCCCTGAGATCGAAGTCAAGGAAATTGAGCTCAGTGTATGAAGTCAAGGGTTGCATTTTAATTTATTTTCTGTGGCATGTCATATTTGTTATTGCATTGAGGGATCGGTGCATTTGGTTAAAAGACTAAGGTATGTATGAGGAAACCAACTAACTCTATGTTGAGTTGGTTACTTCCTCCACTATTTACCAAGAGGTTTAAGATTCAAATATTCTGAAGCCCCTTTGGGGACTGCGAAAACAAAAGTATGTATGAGGAACAATGATTCCAAAAATTGTTCTGAATTGTATACTAAGGTCATGTGAATGCCATATATATTTTATCAGTTCGAAATAATTTCAAATATTGTTCAGAATTTTATTTAAAGTTTGAACGGTTTCATGTTCATATATGATCTTTTGGTTATTAGTTCATTACAGTATGAAGAGATAAACAGTATTTTATTTTCTTTTTGGTTAGTTCATGTTTCTTAAATTTATCCTACCGGAGCTCAGGTTTCAATCCTTCCTCCTCTGGCTTCAATTTTCGTAACAAGCACGGCAGCACAGTTAGCTGACAATTTAATTTCTAATGGAGTTCAAACCACCAAGGTAAAGAATAATACTTAAATGTTTCTGTTTCCTGATGGTGAGAACTCTGGAAAGATTTCACCTGTTGATTCTTACTTGATGAAATTTGAAATTATAACACCCAATTTTAAGTAGTGACATTGAATTTTTTTTTTCCCTATGGTTCGTCTATATAATTTTTTCGGATGTTCCAATCATTTAAAATGTCTCCTATAGATATAAGTTTCTGAATGTGCTTTTTCTCTTCTGTCATTTTTTTAGTTCAGTAGTTTATAACCCCCATGACAGCCCTCCCTCCAAAAAAAAGAAAATAGAAAAAACCTTCATGAGAGCCTGGTTTTTTTGCATTCGCAGGTGCGGAAGATTTGCCAAACAATTGCTTTTATGTCTCCTGCAGTCTGCATGATATTATCTTCTCTGGATTTAGGATTGCAACCTTGGGAAATTGTGGGTATTCTCACTGGTGGCTTGGCTCTCTCGAGTTTTGCCTTGTCAGGTAGTGAGTGATCAAACCTAGTTTTTTTCTTCAGCAATAGGAATTAGTAAAAATACTGGTTTTTACCTGTCCTTTCCTGCTTCACTTCTCTACTTTTCTTTTTTCCCCGTTGTACAGGACTCTATTGTACCCATCAAGATATGTCACCTGAATATGCAAGTATTCTTCTGGTAAGTAGGCTTGCAAATACTCATAGTGCAGATGATTAATTAATGGATCCTGCGCTAGTCAATTATTCTGTTTTATATTTGAAACAGCATATTTATTTTCCATATCTCAGCTCGATTTTGCATATCATCCATGTGTTTGATTAACCATATGAACTTATTACTGTTTCTCCAAAATTTTCATTCAGGGTATTACCAACACTGTTGGTGCAGTACCAGGAATTATTGGTGTTGCCCTCACTGGTTTTCTTCTCGATTCAACTCATTCATGGAGTGTAAGCAACTACTACTATCACGTCTTCCGTTTCGTCATCATCTTCACCATTCTTTCACCCATCTCATGTCATGTCCACTTAACAATTTTTTAATTTACATCACTGCTATCTTTCTTGCTGGCAACCTGTTTGATTCTGTTTGATGACTGGCAACCTGTCAAAACAAGATGCTTATCGTTGCTTTTTATATTATGTAGATTTCACTTTTTGCACCGTCGATATTCTTCTACTTGACTGGTACAGTTGTATGGTTGGCATTTGCAAGCAGTAAGCCACAAGCGTTTTCCAAGAGAGACTGACCTTCTCTCCTTCTCTTTTTGGCTGGCTTTTCATGGAGATACTTTCTAAAGGTAATACCTAATATATAGTAATTCTAACTTGATTTCTTTCCACAGCACTTGGTGGAACTTGACATCAACTACTAATCCTGTCCTGCTGTCCATGCTTAGAAAAATCACATGTATCTTTCCAATTGTAATTTTATTGATAGTATATATTTGTGCTGTATACTTTGCTAAAGTGATTAGCTTGCAACTCCTGGTGCCCAGCTTTTTTCTAGGGCTCACTTTCAACAATAATACATCTATAAAGTCAAAAACTTTATTCTTCAACATGTTCCCAGTTCTTTTCTACTGTTTCACACATTTGTATACACTCAATGTGCATGCATGAGCAGATCAAGGAACAATTTGGGTAATGACTGTCATTTACAATAAATCTGTATTAATCATGTCACAGTATTACATATACTGGCAAATAAGTTGTTATAAAATCAATCCAACAGCTCAATATAGTTTACATTATTTTCAGGAATACATTAACAAAGTTAAAAGATAAGCAAATCCAAGAAGTAACAAAACAAGAAGAAGCCATTTTAGAACTTATTCTTGCATATGTGTATGTGATTCATGTACTGAACAAATATTCTTTCATACTTTGTGCAAAATTTTAATTAATAAAAATTAAGTCGTAATTAACATTTAAACTTCTAAGTTTTACATTAAATAATAAAGTTGGATTCTTTTTTTAGAAGAAGGCTATCCATTCAAAGACTATTAACTACTTCAAAATCTTCCTTTGGAGAGAAATATAAAAAATGGAGGGAAGAAAGAAAACACTTGGGATCATAGGGTCTTTTGCAGAAAAAAATTTGCATTCAATTGTAAAATGCTTGCGCTGATTCCATTTATTGTTTGACCAAATCATTAAATGGAACTGCTTTTGGTTCCATCATCGAAAGCTACCTAACTGCAGCCAGGGAGAACAATACTGGGCATATGAACAAATACAATCGAAAAAGGACCAACAGTTATTGGCAATGTTGAATTTACATGAACAGGCTCCAAAGAAGGTATGTCCCCTGATGATGTTACACTTAAAACATTTCCATTAAGTAGCATCTTTTGGCTCTGTAAATTTCCATCTTGTGCTGTTAGATGATATTCCTCTCTTATGAATCCTGGCATCGTCGAGTCTTTAGGCAATAGAATAATTCGTTTGTGAGACATGTTTCTGTGCTTGTGGCGCACTGCCCAAGAACTATTGAACTGAACTTTGGACTCAATGGTGGTGTTACTGTCTAGGTTGATCAGCAGAACTGTGATCCCTTTCTGCAAGATGAAAACGTAATCAGAGCACTGGAAGAGATAATCCTTCTACTGATTTAAGTTCAGAACTTATTTTTTTAGTCCGAGAAGATCGAGATAGTGTTTGTTTAGTGTGCAAGTTACTATAACAGTATAACTTAAGAACTTGGTACATGATAGGAATGTGCTGTAAATAAGAAAAAAGTTTCTATTGGTCGAAGTTCGGGATAGACTTTGATAACCGGGAGAATACACTCATCTATTATATATTTCATCCACTACAACGTACAAAGTAGAATGCAGTATTTTTTTAGTCTTGTTTACTATAAATTTGTCCAATGCTGTACTGAAACACTACTAAAATCCCCAGAAGTTGGACGGAGCTAAGGCTAGGTAACTTACAGATTGTTTTGCACAATGAGTGTAGGCACGAATTTTGTTGTTTCCTGAAAAACTTGTGGACAGAACATTTCTGCCCATTAACCGGTGCCAAAGAAGAGCGCTGCAGTATCAAATGAGAACATCACAAATTGATTAGACAGAGGATTTTAATATCGTGCTATAAAAACTTTAACTCATCATAATAACAATCGCTAAATTCCTCAAATATTACTGGGCTGTCGCTTCTCATCATTATTTCTGAAGCATTAATCAAGAAACAAGGAAAACATCTAAAATGACTTCATTGATTCCTACAGTGGTCACTCAAAATGTTCTATACCTGTAGTAATCTGGATTCGGAACGAAGGTGGTTGTGTTGAGCAAACCATAGTTCCCCCCAATCAATGACTGTCTGCAGTATGTTTTTGTATCATAGACTGACGACATTCCGAGCTGATCCAAATACCTGGTTGACAAGAGGATATCATTAGTTAAAGATGCAAAATCTAACATCTTCTTTTTGTAAAGTACACGCATTTTACCAGAAGCTGAACACAAAGGCATTGGTGACAAGATTACGGCCACTGTTGTAAGCCCCTCCTGCCTCACCAACCCATGCAGTTGCTGAAGTTTTAGAATTTTTTAGGGTGTTTTTGAGGTCCCGGAATGTATTAGCCTCACCATCAAGATAGTGTGGGTCAAGAATTCTTTCCACAAGGTGTTGATCAACTCCTGGACACCAGAAATAGATTAGCCAAATAAAACATATTTTCTTAGGAATCGTTGTTACAGACGATTGAAATTAGATCATCGGAGATTGAAAATACCTGGCCCAAGATTGTATATGTGGTGGGTTACAACATCCAAAGATTTGGTTGTTTTATCAATAAATTCTTTGAACCAGGTTCCATCAAAGAAACCACCTGGTGCTATGATTAGTGGCTTGTAGCCCACACTGCTGTAAATGGTCTGCACAATGTTTTGCAGAGCTATAGTGTCTAGAGCATACTGATTTGCTGCAACTCTTGTTCCTACTCCACTTCCACTCAACTCATTCCCTACATTAAGATTTTAGTCTGTATGGTGGATAACAAACTCGAAAAACCTAAATATGTTTTTATCATGTATAAATGGGATGCAGCTTACCAAGTTCCCAACCATGGATGGTATAGTTCTTTCCAACGGTATACCGAATAAAGGATTCAGCGTTGGTGTAATCCCAAGGTCCTACTGCAGAACCATCAGACTTGATAGAACGCCCATTGAGAGCGTTTAGTCCAAAGATGATCTTGGCCCTGAATTAAACAAACAGTGAGAACTGTTGGCTTACTTCTCCAGATATAGAAGGATCAAGTTCAAGAAGAAAAATAAGTGTTTTTGCCTACCCAGATTTCTGGAAGAAGGCATTGAGCTCATCCCATCTTTTCATAGGTAAACACCCCTGAGTAAAACCAAACATCTCTGAAGCATTCCTAGTAAATGGAACACAGGGTTGCTTTTCATCTTCTGTTCCATATATCACCTTGTCTTGCAAGCTGCCACCTAATCTAATCTTCAGTGGGGAAAAGGCTGCATAATTTATACACAAAACAAACAATTAGATGCAGAACCCTTTGGTTAAGTTTGGTTTTCAATTCTTAATTCCGTGAATAAAACAGAAGTGCGATAAAAATTTAAACGAAAATAATATTTTACTTTCAAGCTAATTCTGTCTTCATTTCATTTTAGTTAGATATTTTTGTGATTCACCTTTATTTATAAACTTCGAATCAAAGCTAGAATGGAGTGGCTAACTTATGCATAGAATATGTATATTATAAGTAAATATTGAATACGAAAAATAATATGTATACACATAATTGATTAGGAATAGGATAAATTCAACTACAAGTAACTTTTGATTAACACAGCTAATTAGATATTTCAGAAAAAAAAAAAAAAATCTTCTCACCTTTAATGGCATTCAAAAACATATTGTTGTTAAGGTCCTGCAAGAAAGAACGAAGCAACCAATTTAATAAGCATTTCTTATCAAGTTAAAAAATCAAAGATGAATAAACATTCAAACTGTTTTCTGGAGAAAACTAAATATATTTCTTATTCAGGAATTCCAAACATGCCAAATCAAAAGAAGCACTCAAAGAAAGAACAGGGGAAGAAATACAGCATTAAGAAATCATGAATACCATTTACTATCTGAGATTCTCATCAAAAAGAAAATGAAACTAAGAATTTGCCTATAAAACAAGCTGCAAAAATAGTTTCAGACCTGGAAAACGAATCAAAAATGGCCATAGCTTGATACAATCCCACACAGCACACCATTAAAAAAAAAAAATCCATCTGGAAACTCTTGAAAATTTCTCCGTACCATATTTTGAAAAACATAGATTGCATCTCAAAAACCAAGTAAAAAAGATTCAAACATTACCAAATTGAGCAGAGAAGCCAGACCCCAGCTGCATGTCCCATAATCACATTTCTCCGGAGGCCACCAATCCAATGTGGCGCACACAAAATCATCGTCAATCCTTCCAATGGCGCTTTTCCCGTCGACGAAAACAGTCCCTTGGGAACTCCCGGCGCCGCCGTCCGGCACCGCAACTCGGCTCCCTGAACTCGGAGAAAAGGAGGAGCAAACGAAGAACGACACCCAAATCCAAACACCCACTTGCCAAATCTGAGAACCCATCATTATAGACTCGAATAGAATGTCGAGATCCCAGCCGCCCTCGTCCGCCTCCTAGGAAGAACCCATGGACGAACGCGAAAAAGTAGAAAAAGCGGTCGGGTGAGGTTACTACAGTCTTACCCACTTCCCGCTATAAGACATGATACAATAATTACAGAGCGTATTAGATACTGTCTATGTATGTATGTATATATATATATATATATAAATCAACAAGTATGAAAGATGGAGGTGGAGATGAGAGAAAAATGAATGGGATTTGGAACTCAAATGGTTTAGAATAAAGCGAGCGTTTGTTGCATGTGGGCCACTGGTTTTGCTCTCCCTTCACGAACATGGAAAGCTCCTGGCTACAGATAATTTTAGGGCCCTGTGCAGCTCTGCTCTGCTCTGCTTGGAAATTATATATTATAAATCTAAATGTAATAAAAACTAAATTAAATAAGAAAGAATTTGCTCACTATATAGATCTGTGTCTCTATATATATATGTGTATATATATAAATATATATTTGTTATATATATATATATATTTGTATGTACTTGTATATTCCTATATTTCCTTTATGTTTTCAGACATTTTAACAGAAACGGAACGTACGTATGTATGATGTCATATTCTAATGACTTTTTTTTTGAACGAGGTAATAAATATTTACATAGATATACGGTTAAATAAATAATTATTAATTTATAATATTTAATTCAATAAAATTAAAATTTTTGCTAAATTAAATTTTAATAAATTTAAAACAAAACAAATATTTTTAAAAGTAAAATTGTGACAAATTTTTTAATTTTAACATAAATTTAATAATTTATTTTAATATAAATTAAAAATTAATTAATGAGTAATTAGTAATAAATTACAAATGAAATTTTATTATTAATTTGCACTCTAAGAGAAAAACATGACCAACCATTACCAATCATCAAACCTAACAAAATCTTTTTTTAGTTATGAACTCCTAATAATTATACAAAATCATTTTACTTATATTTTCGTAAATATCTATTAATTTTACCGATATAACCAAACGTATCATATTCAAATTTCATCAAATATATAAGGTTTGTGAATTTATAAGCGAATTATGAGCTGACTGTGATCGACTTATAATGTTTGATTTATTAAAAACAAGAACTCGAATTAATAGAATGTTGAAATTTCTAACAACTAAATTTTAGTAACTCTATCATATTTTTTGACGAAAAAAAATATTCTCTGACAGATACCCAATATTTTCAACGATTACGGTCGTAAAAAAAAAAAAATTGTGGGTTGTAAATATTTTTACGAGATCGTATATTTGTGATTGATTGATATTTCGAGGGGGAAAAAAAACAAAAAAACCTAATCCACATTGATGGAAATGTTGTGTAGGTGGAGTTTAGTTAAATACATCAATCCAACCTAATACCTCTCTTATATATGGAAATCTATTTACTCTTTTTATGCTCTCACCCACTTCACCACTTTCCTAAGGCTTTGAATTCAAGGCAAGTGGTTGGACCTTTCCTTACATTTCACATCTTGTTTTAGATAAAATTTAGCTATACATACACACACACACACACATATATATATATATATATATGTATATGTTAACATTTATTTATAATAACAATATTTAAGTCCCTCATCCCTCAATAAATATATGGGTCATTCATTCTCTACATGAATGAACTAATGTGAGTGTTATTGTGGGTACAAAGAATTTTATTTATAACAATCTAAAAATCTACATATAAATACAATTGTGTTTGTATATTTAATTCATCCACTTGTATCCATGCATTTCATTCGAAATTGGAATTTAAATTAACGGTAATAATTATAGTTATTTGAATCTATAGAATTCAATCGTTACGAAGTATTCGTCTCTTTCAAAAGTATGGTAAATTCGTTAAAATTTTATTTAATTTAATTATTATAATTTCATCAATATATTAATGAGATAAGTTACGAATTCACGTCAAATGAAATATTATTTACAGATAATCGTTAACTTTTAAAATACGTATAAAATACAAATATATAAACAAGTAAACATGTACTTTTTATTTGATTTCCAAAGAGTGAGTTCAATTTATTATAAAGAAATGGATATAATTATTTGAAAACAGAGAATTCAATCTTTATGAAGTATTCGTTTTTTTTCAGAAGTATAGTGAATCGTTAAAATTTTATTTAATTTAATTATTATGACTTTATTAATATATTAATGAGATAAGTCACGAATTCATATTAAATAAAGTATTATCTACAGATAATCGTTAACTTTTTAAAACACGTATAAAATACGAGTATATAAACAACTAAACATGTATGTATTTTTTATTTGATTTTCAAAGGGTGAGTTCAATTTATTATAAAGAAATGAGTATAGTTATTTGAATATAGAGAATTCAATCGTTACGAAGTATTCGTTTTTTCCAGAAGTATAATAAATTCGTTAAAATTTTATTTAATTTAATTATTATGATTTCATCAATATATTAATGAGATAAGTTACGAATTCGCGTCAAATAAAGTATTATTTACAGATAATTATTAATTTTTTAAAACACGTATAAAATACGAGTATATAAACAACTAAACACGTATGTATTTTTTATTTGATTTTTAAAGGGTGAGTTCAATTTATTATAAAGAAATGGTTATGTGGGTAGCATTCATGGCAAGTCTTAATTATGGCCTGTCTATTTCAAAAACAAACCCTAAAGGGACCATTGGGTATGACAAAATTGGGACATTTCTTCACAATTCAAAATTAATTAATGGGTTCTTTTTGGGAATCCAAATTAATTAATGGGTTCATCATCAATCTATTTAATTTGCATAATCAATCTCTTTCTAATTCTTAATTTCATGTTTGATTACTCTCATTATTGTGGGATTTTGACCTTAATTTTGACTTTCCTATTGTTTGGTTTCATATAGTTTAGTTTTGATTTTATATTTACTCAAGCAAGAATAATTTTTTAATAACAAAATTGTATGTTTGTATATTAACTCTATATGTTTAATTTATAGTAAATATAAAAGGAACAAAAAAAAATATATATATTACATAACTTTACCGAAGCTAATTATCTGAGACGAAAATCCTAATCTACATTTTTTTTACAATTTTCTTTTAACAGTTATTCGACACATAAAGATATACGAAGAGAAACAAATGATAGAACCAGTTGTTGGTGTATTTGAATTTAATTTTTTATAAAAAATTTAATCTTTAAATATGTCTTTGCTAATACTTTTTTTTTTACGTGTAAATTGAATTAATTACCGTATAGAATTACTTAGTTATTATGAAATATTATAAAAATTACTGTAAGTACCGTAGTAACATATTTTTAGAAATGAATTTATTTGATTTTGCTAACAATATATAAGATTGCAAGGTTCGTTGGGCAGGTACTAGTTATATATGTAGTTATTTCCTACGGCTCTATGTTTTTCGATTTAAAAGATATATAGAGAAGATTCGAGCAAATTTAAATTAGAATTGATACCTAGAGCAATTGTTTCTCTTTTGTTTTACGGAGTTGAATGTACGATTTTAGTAGGTCTAATGCTAGATTTACAAATTACATATGTTGCGAATTTTATCAACTACGTGATAATCAGATGGGCGAGAGATTAAATTTGGACATCCAAAAATTATCAGAGGAGAGGGTAAACAAGTAAACCTAACACCGCCTTACCCTTTTTTGATATACAAAAGAGTTTTTGATAGAATGGATCGATTATTTCGAGTCATTTTTTTCGTACAATGAAAAATTTAATAAATTTTATTCGATACTTTGATTGACTTATAAATTTTTTTTACATACGTTGACACTCGCGTCGTGTTAAGTACGTTTCGATATTAATTATTTAATATAAATATATTTTAAATTCAATTCTAGTTTATTTTGAAATTTTCTGCACTTTACACGCGTGCATATAAAGTGCGTGTAAATAGCGTAAAATTTTTATTTAATTCTTACTGATAAATACCCAACAAATTTCTCACTGATACATCACTAGAAATTAATTGAAAATTTCAAATTTCTTTTTGAAGAAGAAGATTGATAAGGAGATGGTGAAGGTGAAGGTGAAGGTGAAGGTGAAGGTGAAGGTCCATGATTCCTTTGACACAACACCTTCATCAAGCTTGGTTTTATGGGATCCGTAGGGAAAACCACTCTCCAGCACTCAACACTGATATTCTGCAATTCGTTGCAGCAGGTAGGTTTAGGAACGCCGAGGTACGGGAAATTCAGAACGGAATGAAGGCAGCCGCGAATCGTCGAAATACGTTCGAAGCACTTTACGTACTTTCTGGGCTCGGGAATTGGCGAGCGCGGCCATGGAAATCTCTTCGGTTCGTCAAGCGTTCGCGGCAGCGGCTCCGACGGGCTGCCGCCGCAACATGCGGCCGCAAGGAGGAACAGAATGGGGATGAGGAGTTGACCTTTACGTGGCATGGTTGACTTTTTTTACCGCGGGTAAATTTGCTTACTTTGATAAATTTACTGCGGGTAAATTTGGCTCAAGTTAAAAGTGACAATTTATATACCCGTTGGAGAAATTGGGGGGGGGGGGGGGGTGACTAATTAGATTAATTAAATGGATTAGCGTTATTAAACCGTTAATTAAGTTAATGGTGGTGTTAATGGTACTTTATAAGGCTATAAATTTTAGGGGTTAAATTTAACTCACCCTGTTGAAAAACTGACTTGGGTCTTTTTGTTCTATCTTTAAGTATGTGTTCTTACACGTATATATATGTATAGAAGTGTATATACATGTATATATGTATAGGCCCAGGACCAGGCCCGATCGATTTTGCAATAAATTTGAACCTGTACATTGTGAATTCTGCTTCAACCAAACGCGGTCTTAAAGCGCCGCCGTGCTTCCCTAAATTGAAGCTGATCTGAGGGTAAGACTGTAGCCATTTAAAAGGCAAATGGAGAAGAAATAAAATAAAGCAGAGATTTTTCAAGCTTTTCTCACATGCCATATATGTATAGAAGTGTATATACATGTATATATGTATAGGCCCAGGACCAGGCCCGATCGATTTTGCAATAAATTTGAACCCGTACATTGTGTGTTCTGCTTCAACCAAACGCGGTCTTAAAGCGCCGCCGTGCTTCGCTAAATTGAAGCTGAGCTGAGTGTAAGACTGTAGCCATTTAAAAGGCAAATGGAGAAGAAATAAAATAAAGCGGAGATTTTTCAAGCTTTTCTCACATGCCAAACAACGTTTTCTTCTTTCTCTGAACTCTATAGAAATGCTGAGGAGAAAACCAACCAAAATCCAACTGAAAATCGAAGACAAAGAAGAACTCGAAGAAGCCCGCAAGCCCCCACCTACCAATTCTGCCGCTGCTACCCCTGCATCCTCTTCCACCGCCTCCTCCTCCCTCCTTCACCTCCTCGATCCTCCCCACCATAATCCCACCTCGAAATCGCATCGCATCGGCCTCTCCCCTTAAACCCTAATCCTCCAAATCCGAACCCACTTCTTCCTTTATCCTCAGTAATGGAAGTCGAAGTCAAGCTACGCCTCCCGGACGCCGCTGCCCACCGCCGTCTCACGACTCTTCTCTCCTCCTTCCACATTAAAACCCTTCACCAGCGGAATTTCTTCTTCGATACTTCACAGAGTGACCTCTCCTCTCGTCGCGCCGTCCTCCGCCTCCGCTTCCTCGAGAACGACGCCGTTTCTCGCTGCATCGTCTCCCTCAAATCGAAGCCCACCCTTGTCAATGGAATCAGCCGCGTTGAAGAGAATGAGGAGGATCTCGATTTTTCCGTCGCCAGAGAATGCGTTGATGATCCTTCAAAGTTGCTATCCATCGAATCGAGGGTCTTGAAGAGAGTTGGGGAGGAGTTCGGGGTTGGGGCTGAAGTGGGGCTCGCTTGCTTGGGCGGGTTTGAGAACTTGAGGGAAGTCTACGAATGGAATGGGGTCAAACTGGAGGTCGACGAGACGAGGTATGCATTTGGTACTTGTTACGAGATTGAGTGCGAGAACGAGGATCCTGAAAGGATCAAGAAAATGATCGAGGAGTTTTTGAGAGAGAATGAGATTGGATTTTCTGATTCTGAGATGACCAAGTTTGCTGTTTTCCGATCCGGAAAGCTGCCTCAGCAGGTCGGTTATCCTTTTCTCCCTGCCTGTTAAATTCTTCCTTGCTTTTTTTATCTTTTACTCCTTTGGTTTTGGAGGGATGGCGACTTCAAAAAATTCATGTTCGTGTAGAATGGATAAATACTTGACTTTGTTCAGTGTGGATTTGTGTTTTGCTTTCTGGGTAATCTTTGTTTCGGGTGTCAGTTTGGTGCTTGTATGGTTCTAAATTTCTTACATGCTGTTTTCTGTTTGATGAAGTTGTTGAGTGTTGATGGGTGCTTGGTTATTTTTTCTGTTTGTGCAAGTCTTCTTGTCTTAATCATTGAATTAGATTAACTAAGTAACAATTAATAGGACGAGTGATCATTTTGTAAATGCATTCTCCTTTGAAAAAGAAAATGGAATTCAAAATTTTGATCTGTGATTGAAGTTTTCTAGCCCTCTAAGAAGATTTTCATTTACTTAAGTTTATCAACATATTTAACCAGTCCTTGTTTTACTCCTTTTGGATCTTATGGAGAAAAGAAAAAATTTCCCTTGCTTTTAGCCTTGGAGAAGGAACCTAGTTCCCATTTTTTTCATTTCCCATTCAGTTCCTATCTAATCCTGTTTCTCTTAGTCTTGAAATGTATAATTTAAAACATGATTTTTTAATGTTTAAGAAGTTGGAACCGAGATCCCATAATTCAGTGTGGGGGGTTGGCAATTAAGATTTATGTTATCGTTATACTTCGCAAGTCTAACAGGAAATTTTGAGCTAGGAATTGAATGGAAACTGAACCAAGTAGGCCATAAAAATTTAATTTGCTGACTTTCTTTTTAGCTTTAGGAAATAATGGTTCTGCTCTTGCAGTGTTGAGATTTTTGTCATTTGAAGAAAGCATGTATTTTGAGTTGCAAACCTTGATTAGTCACCTCATTTGCTTTTCCTACAGACGATGAACAGAAAGAAGTCTGTGTTACTAAATGTGCTGCTTTTTCTGTTGATGCTAGTTGCTATGGATCTATGATTTCTCTTTTCGTTTGTTTGTTCTTCTTAGTTTAGTGCATTACAGTTTTTTACTTAATTCTCCTCTGCAATTATTGTAGTTGCTAATTTTTTCGATTAATCCATTTGACTAGGATGGTTATTTTATGGTAAAATATGCTGTTGATCTACTAGCTGAGATTCATAAATATGATACATTCCCTGTTCATCGGACGGAATGCAGATTTTTGTTCTATAACCTTTGAAGATTTGTTCCAATCAAGGAACTTCCGAATGGCTTACATTCTTCTTTGCTGTGTGTCAATTATATCTTAAACAAGTAAAATGAGTTCAACGCTATTTTTCCTCACTTTTCTGAAGCCCGTTACTGGAGTTCTGGTCTCTTCCAAAAGAGGTAGTAAATATACCTTGCATGTTTTGTGTCGTCTGTCTCTAAATAATATTTGCACACGTAGCTCAATAACTTAAAAGCACTGTAAATCAGGTCTGCTCCATTTGCTTTTGTAGGTCATCAGCTAATATGAGCGTTGGTGGGTTATTTGTTGGGGCTGGCAATGAAACGAGGTTTTGACATTAACATTCTGCCACGACCCAGTGACGATTTTATTCTGCTGTCCCTCGTCTTAGCTACTCTCACGGTGCCCTTTCTGTTCGCATGCTAGTATGCAATAAAATACGAAATTCTTATCATTGTGTACTCGCTTGAAGTTCAGGAACAAATTTCTTGCTTTGTGTGTTTGCAATAAAATTTCGATTAATGATCATCTCGTATATTTTTGTTTTGTCAATAATATATTTGAGCCGTGGTTACACTGTCATCTAAAAAGCACTAGCTTAGTGAATGACATACCGGAACCAGAGTTGAAATGTTAAGTCATTTGTATTTGTATGTAGCCTATAGCGATTAATCAGATCTACCGAGCACTTGAAAAATTGCAGGGTTTATGATCTCAATCTTTTGTTTCCCGAAGGTGAAAACATAGACAAGTTTATTTGCATGTGAAAACATGGGAGTTTTTTAGCTTTAACTTCCTCCTATATATATATATATATAA